GGCTATGAAAGAGGAGCATCGGAAGAACGAGCGTATCGTGGGGCAGGTTTCCTCCTTCGACTATGATAGCAGTGGGTTGTTGACACTACACCGTAGGGTGTGGGTTCCGTATCATGGAGGGGTGCGCCAGGTGCTGATGGAGGAGGCGCACAAATCCAGGTTTTCTATTCATCCCGGGGCGACGAAGATGTACAGAGATCTTCGTCCTGATTATTGGTGGCCCTGCATGAAGCGGGATGTAGCCTGGTACGTCGAGAGATTCCAAACCTGCAGGAAGGTCAAGGTCGAGCACCAGAGGCCTCACGGCAAGACGCAACCGTTGGACATCCCTATGTGGAAATGGGAAGATATTACCATGGATTTTATCACCAAGCTTCCCAGGACCGCACGGGGAGTGGATTCGATATGGGTCATCGTAGATCGGTTGACCAAGAGTGCACATTTCATATCGATCCAGGAGAGCATCTCGGCCGAGAAGCTGGCCGATATCTATATCCAAGAGGTTGTAGCTCGACACAGAGTGCCGGTCTCCGTGATTTCTGACAGAGACGTGCGGTTCACTTCCAGATTCTGGAAGAAATTCCACGACGAGTTAGGTACTCGTCTGCACTTTAGCATAACTTTTCACCTGCAGACGGATGGTCAGAGCGAGCGGACCATCCAGACTTTAGAGGATATGATGTGGGCATGCATTTTAGACTTCGGTGGTAGCTGGGATACCTACCTTCCCTTGGCTGAGTTCTCCTACAACAACAGCTACCACGCGAGTATCGATCGTCCCCCCTTTGAGATGTTATACGGGAGGAAGTGAAGGACCCCGATTTGCTGGGGTGAGGTTGGGCAGAGAGTCATGGTAAGTACCGAAGTGGTACTCAAGACTACGGAGAGGATCCAACAGGTCAGGAGCAGGCTTCAGACTGCTCAGAGTCGGCAGAAAAGTTATGCCGACAAGCGTCGTTCGGACCTGGAATTCTAGGTCGGGGATATGGTCCTCCTGAAGGTGTCACCTTGGAAAGGTGTCATCCAGTTCAGAAAGCGGGGCAAGTTGGGCCGCAGGTACATTGGTCCTTTCAGGGTTACAGCTCGGGTGGGCAAGGTGTCGTATAGGTTGGATCTGTCAGCCGAGCTTAGCCATATTCATAGTACCTTTCACGTCTCCCAGCTGCGGAAGTGTCTAGTAGACGACTCTACAGTGGTACCTTTGGAGGATATTCTGGTGGATGACAGCCTGAACTACATTGAGCTACCAGTAGCTATCCTCGACAGGAAGTCGAAGGATCTGAGGAATAAGAGGGTCGAGCTGGTGAAGGTGCAATGGCAGCACCGTAAGGGCTCAGAGTGGAGTTGGGAGCCGGAGGACGAGATGCGGGAACACCACCCCGATCTTTTTCCAGATGTAACAGCAGAATTCGAGGACAAAGTCTAAAATAAGTGGGGGAGGGGGATTTGTAACGCCCGGTTCCCGGTACGTATTTTAAATTTAAAGATTGTATGTTTTTACACTGGGACTCGGCGAGTCGGAGGCCCAACTCGTCGAGTAGACAAGACTTTGGATGCGGGTTTAAAGTGACCTACTCGACGAGTCGGGAGCGGGACTCGGCGAGTAGGACTGTCTGGATGAAAACCTAATATTTAGGGTTTGCACCCTATTTAAGCACCTTATCTTGTCCCAACCCAGCCTCCATCGTCCCTCCCAGTCCAGAGAAGCCCTAACTCGAAACCCTAATCATTTATTGAGTGTTATTGAGCTTTTTGGTGCCATTTGTGTGTGTTTGAAGTTAGAGAAGAAGAAGGAAGCTTGAGAGATTAAGAGGAAGCAAGAAGATCCAGAGGTTTTGGCACATTTCCAACTCATTTGAGGTATAAAGCTGAAACTTTGACCATCTATCTCTTACATCTCTAGTTAGGGTTCATTTCTACCTTTTCTAAGCCTTAGAAGTGCCATTCTCGGGATTTTGTGGTTATAGAGGGGTATTACTTCAGATCTGGAACGCATTGGGGGTTCCCATGGCATAAACGTGCCAACTTTATGGCCATGGGAGTCCCATGCATCATATAAACCCCATTTTAGAGCCTTTTGAGCCAAAACCCCACGCATGAATGTTAAGTTTGTAACTTTACGTGTATTATGGACCCTAGGAGGCTAGATCTATGTTTTGGATGTGTTAAACCCGACTGAAATCAACTGTATGGACATGGACCTTGGGGGACTCAGCGAGTCGTTCATGGGACTCGACGAGTCGGGGTATGGTTCCCCAACCCTTTTCTGCTTTGGTCGAACTGGTTGAGTCTAGAAAAGGACTCAACAAGATAGATGTGAATCTGGACCTGGAAATCATGGAACTCAACGAGTTCAAGAACAGAATTCGGCGAGTTCAAGGCAAAGCCCAACTGCATGAAGACACACTCGACGAGTTCATAAGGAACTCAGCGAGTCCATGGCTAAACGTGTCTTCTTGCATGAAGCAGGACTCGACGAGTTCAAGGATGAACTCGGCGAGTCAGATGAAAAGGGTCCCGACTTTGTACGTAGGAGAGCTCGACGAGTGTGTGCAATACTCGGCGAGTAAGATCGAGGTTCTAGTGTTTTGAGGATTTGGGGACTCTGCGAGTTGTGGGGTCAACTCGGCGAGTCGAGTCAACCGGATGTTGACTTTGACCTAGAGTTGACTTTGACCAAGGGGTTGACCTTAACTTTGGTTTTGACTTGAGTAACCCTTGTGAGGGTTAAGAGTATGTAATGGTAAATTAAGGAAGGTTGTTACATGTAGGAATTGAGAGGAGTTGATCCCGGCAGCAATGACAGTTCAGACACTTCACGACATTGATGTGAGTTACCTTCCAGTAGAAGTGGGTCTACGACCACAATGCCGACCCACTTGTAGAAGTTTGTTGATAGATGATTGTCTTTATGATAATTATCTAGGTTTGCTACTACCTGATATGTTTTATGTAATTAGCATGTTATGATATATGTGATAGTGGTAGTAGGGGGGATTAGTCTCGGTTAGCGGTTGAAAGATATCGAAGGAGTCGTCAGAACCCACGCATGTCTAGTAGTATGTTCATGGTATGTTCTTATGTGGTCGTGGTAGGGGTGAAATAGTCACTGATTACCGGTTGAAAGATACCGAAGGGGAGGTTAGCTCCCGTTACCGGTTGGAAGATACCGAAGGGGAGGTCAGCTCTCGGCTACCGGTTGAAAGATACCGAAGGGAGGTCCAACTTCCGATTATGTCAGTCAGATACCGGTTGAAAGAGACCGAAGGGAAGTCCAACTTCTGATTATGCCAGTCAGATACCGGTTGAAAGATACCGAGGGATAGGCAGTATATGTTTATGGTATGTGGTATGATGGGGGAACTCACTAAGCTTCATGCTTACAGTTTCAGTTTTGTTTCAGGTACCTCTTCAGCGAAGGGGAAGGAGTCGGCACGGTAGCAGCGCATCGCACACACACGATTTTCCGCATATGAGATTTCTGGGATTTGTACTCTGACATTGTTTTATCATGACATGACTTAACTATTGATACACTGGTTTTGAGATGAATTGATACCATGGTTGTTTTCAGACAAATGGTTTTATAAGTATTATATTTAAAAATGAAAATTTTTGGTCATGATTTTTGGGATGTTACAAATATACTATGAATGTTATTATTATGACCACTTTTTAGGTATTTTGGAGATTCAGAAACAATGCGGTGTTTAATAACAGTATGTGCAGGCAACAATTGATTCTTTAATCAATTGTTGATTCCTCTTTATTGTGATTTACCAAATAGGAATTTTACATTTGAATTAGGTTTCTTGATTTCAAAATCGTATGATCATTTTATAATGTTCTAGTTCCTTGCTAATTTTTTTTTGTTATAAATCTTTTAGTTGTTCAAAAACAAATCTATTTATAGACAAAACTTAGCTCAGTGTGGAACCGCAATTATAAATCTAGCATCTACTCTAAGATGACAAATGAGACATTAATATATTTTCCTAATTTAAAATCAAAATGAGTTTGAATATTTATTTAAGAGCATCAATGAAAACGAAAAGATAAAATTAAAATATCAATTGTATTATTTTTTATAAAGATATCAATCAATTTAAAATGTTTCATTAGATTTAATAAAATTTTATTAAAAAAAAACAAAAGCTAAATATCATATAATCAATGATCTTTTAATTATTTTTTAATATATTAATGTTACAAAGATTATTCACCAATCATACCCTTAAATTGATTTTGTTAAGATTAAAATCATTTTAGAATTTAAATGATAAGATCTTAATATTTACAATAAAAACATTTTGAACTAAAATCACTTTAACGTGTTTTTTATTATTTTATATAAAACTACAACGATATTTATACCTTAATTGTTGTGTTATATTAAAACTTATTTTATTATAACCACCTAAAGAATCATAAGATCGTGCGTTCAAGTTCATCAATGACATCAATGACATCAATGGGACATACCACGTATTTCTTACTTCAACATCATTATTCATCGATCATGGGCGGTTCTATGGTAACCGGTTTTCTCAAATTCTTAATATTAAAATCAAAAAATGTAATGCGAGTGTATACTTAAAAAATTATAATGGCATGATGCACGAGCCACTATTAAATTTAATTGACCTATAAAAATGAGATATATGATATTAAAATCAAAATATATATATGTTTTCTTGTTAATTATATAAATATAATTTAATTAAGATTATGAAATGTAAACATTTGAAAGAGATTTGTCATTAAACAAACGATTTTTAAATTCTAATATGACCTTTGTTCCCATATTCGGATGAACTAGAAAAATGACAATAATACCCTTAGACTTTGTTCCTATTCTAAGACTAGATCAAACTACAGATAATGACGAAAATACCCTCATCACAAGGAATAGTAGGTATAGCCACCTTTGACTTTGTAATATGCCCCAAACCACCCACATCCAAGTGGGTCATACGCGTTTATCCAACATTATTATTTATATATCAACACGATTAACAAAAACTCACGCCTCCCTTACTTTTCAATATCCCAGTTCATCTCCTACATTATCAAAGAAAACTCAAACGTTGTTCAAGATTCAAGAAGAAGAGAAAAGATGTGTCCCATGAGGTTCCTCTTGGTGTTTTTCTCCGCCGTTTTGGCGGCTTACATCGCCTGGAAATCAGTTCCTACATCTTCGGAGCCCTCCCAAGACATGTTTTCCGATGATGACTCATCCATCAAAAAACAAGAATCTAACATCATCAAGGTAAGCCTTTCTTGCATTGGTCCTTCTAGAAACTCATTGTTTGTTCTCCTACAACTCTATCATATGTTCGAATTTCAAATTTAAATGTTTATGGTATTGGATTTCAGATGGCTCAAGCTGGATTCTGGGGATTTGTTGATATGGCGAGTGGAAAGTATCTATGGAGAAACCTAAACCAGATTAAGCAAGACTCAAAAGTCAAGAGTTCGTAATCCTTGGGATTTCAGAAGAAAACCCGACCCATTTTTCATGTATTGATATGAGAAAATCAAACAATCCGCTTTGCTTGTGGTGTTTCTGAATTTCTTGTGTATCCATGTCATGTATAAAATCCTCTTCTTATTCATTATATTTATGTGAAAATTATGCATCTCAAGATGCTACCTATCTAATTCAATCACCAACTACTTGTTGAAAAAAATATTTCACTGTCAACTAATTGTATATACAAAATTTATTATTAATCATAAAAATAAATGAAGTCTGGTAACCATAATAACCATATAATGAAATAAGCAAAAGAAATTTGGCTTAATTTCTTAAGACACACCCCCTTTACCTATTTAGGCCAACTCCTCTCACCTTAAAATCAATGAACATTGTGATTTGTGAAAGTTTTTTCTTTAAATACAAGGGTAAAATAGTCATTTTAGTCTCATTCAGACGGTTTATTCCATCTAAAAAAGAAAAACACACCAGTTTTTATTTAGACAAACATTGCTATCCATATAGAACTTAATGGGAGAAGATGTAGAAACTATGATGTGGTTTATATGCTATAATGACTTGAATCTCATATCCAATACTATTTACAGAGAGTATTTAAATTGAAAAAAAAAAAAAAAAAGTAGGTTTAGTGAAGATGAGCTTGGAGTTTAATAGACATATAAAGAAGAGCAAGAAGGGCACCATGGGGAATTGGCGCAAACCTTGCAATATATGAACCAACCCACATGGAAACAACCACAAGAGCAACAACATTACTACTTGTTTTCCCACAAACCCAACTAGCAAACGAGAGGCATAAAGTAAGCACAATTCCGCTTTTACCCCCCAACATCCACGCAACTACATAACCAACCTTGTACCCTCCATCAAGCTTAGGGTCAAGCAAAGCCATCAAGCTGCTAAAAGTGAGTGACAGTTTAGCCCCTATGGTTTTCAGTAAAAATATGGACAGGAACGTGGATTTCAAGACTTCAGTAAACGAGTGTCTTTCGTTGGTAAGGGTATTATCGTCTTCCTCTTCGTCTTCAGATTCATCATCAAAAGGGTAATATCGGTATTTCGAGTCGTACCATTCTTGGTGATTCATTTTTTGTTTAAAATGAGACCATTTGTGTAAATTTATGTCGTCTAGATCGATGTTGTATGTACGCCATGGAGGACCAGTACTAGGTTGAAAATGGAGGGAATTATCGTATTGGTGTCTTGTTGTGGAGTTAGATAACACCTGTCAAATGAAATCATTCCAAAAGGTTTTTTTTTTGTTATATTTAAATTTTAAGATATTGATTGATAATGAAAAAGTAGATAAATTGTAACCTCGTATGCGAGACGAATGCCTTTAAACATTTCACTAGCTTGTGAATCCTTGTTGACATCTGGATGATACTGGCATCAGTAAAAAAGTAAACCATCAAATAAGTTATATAGGTAAAGAAATGTCAACAAAAACAACAATGGCAATTGGCTTTAATCACATAGTGAATTGTTTTGATTACTTTTCCTTCTAAAACATTGAATTGTAATTTAATAAGCATGTTCTATATTAGGGAATTTCCATATACCAATTCTTATCTATGCAGCCTTGCAGAATTATGGTATTGATTTGAAGATCTATATCTGTGCCAACAGTTATCATCACATGAACACTTCAATCCATTGTAGTTAAAACAATATGAACTCTTAATGTGCAATAATTTCCTTTTCCATCTGATTGGCCATAAGTGGAGAAGCATTCTAAGTGCATCAGTTATGAAGCAATCTATCTACCATTTAGATAACTAATAGAATGGTCCACTAACAAAGCACGACCCCCACAAACTCTTTTCAGTCCCACCTTCCTCTTCTTGTTTTTTATTTCCTGAACTTACTTTCTAGAATGATCAGAGTTCAATTCATATTAAGTAGAAAAAAGGGGCAAACATCCACTATCAGGTGGTTCTCCTAAATCTTTCTAGGAATAACCATACTTTGAACAAGAGAAGATGTAATAGATTCTGCTCACACTGCTAGCTTGTAAGATATTCAACACAAGTTTCATCTTCTATGATTAATTTAAAGTGATATCAAAGAATATTCAAACTGTTTATCAAGGCATGGTTCTCAATTCAGCCCTAATATAACGCAAATCGAAATCAGACACATACACATACTGTTGTTATATACCTTTCGAGCGAGGAGACGATATGCCTTCTTGATATCCGAGGTTGTAGCCTCAGCGGATACCCCTAGAACAGCGTAGTGATTCTGATGACTGTTGGAGACGGTACATGTAACGCTGATCCGGCGGCGTTGGCGTGCAGGGGCAGCGCCGATCAGAAAAATGAGGTTGCGATTGGAGCTACGACGGAGAGAGACGATGGTGCCGCTTCCGGTATCGGTGCCATAGATGGATGTTGGCACCGGAAATAGACGAGATTGCATGGTTGAATTTCGAGCATTCGTAGCCGTATGCTGTTTGAAAACTGCTTGTGTAGGTGTTTTGGGGCTCAGCTTCTGCTTGGAACGGATGAAGATGTGGTTTATGTTGAGTGCTTGCATTAACCACTTGTACTGTACATCAATTTTGTTTGTGAAATATTGTTTGTTTTTTTGTTCACTAATTTGTAGAATAAAATTTGATGTGTTTGAAATGTTGTTAGGTAATAACTTAAAAGGAAAATAATTTAGGTGGGTAATTATTTTTTAGTTTTGTTCATATATGGACAATATTTTATTTTTTGTGCATCGTAGATGAATAACTTGTTTATCAATATTACCGGTTATCTTACGTTACTACTTACATGACATATATGTGGTATATGCATGACATCTACGTGGACAAGAGAAAAAGAAAATGAATTATGAGGATAATTATCTTTTAGTTTTGTTACATATAGGTAACATTTTAATTTTTATACACCATAAGGTAACTAACTTGTTTACCGTGCTCACATCTTACCAATATCACCGGTTATCTTAGGTTACTGCTTATGTGGCATATACGTGGACAAGAAAAACACATGTGTACATTATAAAAAGGTGTCATACAGTTAGTGTTAAATGTGACTTGAATATTTGGAGCATTCTTACGGAGCATTTGAGTTCAATGGAGCACTTAGAGTTCAATGGAGCATGTGACAAAGGAACATATCATCTTAGAAGGGAATGAATCATCTAACAAATGAATAAATCATCTAAAAGGAGGAATGGGGCACCTGAGAAATGAATAGAGCATCTAGGAAAGGAATGGAGCATCTTGTGATGCTCCATGATGAAGATGTGACATCCAGTGCATCGATATGCCATTTTGGAAGAAGTTGCATCATCCATGATGAGGATGTGCCACATTGGGAAGCAAGTGCGCCATTCATTGTCAAGGTGTGCTATTTGGGAGTTGGATGTGCCATCTTGTGAACAAAGTGCGCCACTTATGGTCTAGATGTGCCACCTTGGTACAAGGTGCGCCACTCTAGTGTGTCTTGGAGTACTCTGAAGTATTGATGTGTTGTTGATGTGTTTCTGAAGCATGGATGCGCCACTAATGATCATGATGTGCCACTTGTGCATCATGATGCACCATTAGGTGGCTTGATGCGCCACACATGTTCCAGGTGTGCCACATGTGTTCCTGATGAGCCATGGTATCCCTTGATGAACCACTTATGCTATGATATTCACTATGACGCTCAAGATTGTCCAATGACGCTAAGAAGTTAAATATGATCAAGGATTATTGCATGATGTGCAACCATGATGGTTGATGAGCCATGATTATTTTGATGAGTTAGTTTTGCATCATGATGAACCACTACGGATCATGATGCTCCATCATGTATGTTGTTGATGCTCATGCAATGTTCCAGAAGCTACTACATGACGGATTGTGATTGGTTGACACCTTTCATGGACATATTGATTAATGGGCCAAGCCCATTAAGGTTTTAGGTCAGATCCATAGTCTATAAATAGGGATGCCTACTACTCATTTGAATGTGTCTTGAATTATAGAGTGATAGGCAATCTCAGTTGAATTGTGCTTGTAACCTCTGTTTGAGTACTCATAAATAAAAAATACTCCCCTCCTACCCGTGGACGTAGGTCACCTTGACTGAACCACGTAAATACAATGTCTTGTGTGCTTTTGGTTTCGTGTTTTATATGCATTACTTCCTAATAGTTAAGTTATTAATTGAGCCCCAAAAGTGGAGATCGATAATGTATTCTTCGTCTTCATTATTCTCTTCCATACGACCTGATGAATTCCAAGTTAAGCATTCATGTGACTATAAGTTACCATCTTGTGTGAACATGTCAACGACTGAAGATAACCCTGAAAAAAAAATTTAGAGTTTGTCAAAACTCACATGGTAAACCAAATTATTCTTTTGAGCTTTTGGTTTAATCTTCCTCATTATAACCTTGTTTTTCCTTTGATTGAAGAGTGGAAGAACCCTAAAATGTAAATTCTAAGAATGGGTAGATGATGAAAGGACCGAGACAAAGCCTGACTCAACTGAAATTAGTAAAAATGAAGCCTCCACTTTTAGATTGAAACTTTAAACATTGGGAAATGAAATATATATAATGTACACATGTGTTTTTCTTGTCTACGTACATGTCACGTATATGTCATATAAGTAGTAACCTATGATAACCGGTAATATTTGTAAGATGTGAACATAATAAACAAGTTAGTTACCTTATGGTGTACAAAAAATAAAATGATACCCATATGTTAACAAAGCTAAAAGATAATTACTCTTCTAAGGCATTTTCCTTTTTTCTTGTCCACATGCATACCACGTATAAGACGTATATGCCACGCAAATGCCATATAAGCAGTAACCTAAGTTAATCAGTAATATTGGTCAGATGTGAACACAATAAACAAGTTAGTTATCTTATGGTGTACAAAAAAATGAAATGTTATCCATATGTGAACAAAACTAAAAGATAAGTACCCTTTTAAGTCATTTTCCTCAACTTAAATATATTAAATTGTTAGGTAAAAGTTTAAATACCTTGTGGGTTTCATGTCCTTACAAATAAAAGATTGTAAATCTATACATCTATTACAATAGAAGCCATGTTGTTAGTACCATATTCATTTGAAACCTACAAAAATTTTCACTTATTTAATAACTACTACAACTCAAACGTATTTTCAACCAATTAAACACTACAACTTAAGAGTTTTTAACTTATGATGTTTAATTGGTACTTATGACACTTAATTCATTTGAAACTTACAAAACTTTTCAACTTATTTAATAACTACTACAACTCAAAAATATTTTTAACCAATTAAACATTACAACTCAAAAGAGTTTTTTACTTATGATGTTTAATTGATAATCACGACACTTAATTGGTTAATATGCATGTGTGTATATATATATATATATATATACTCACGACACTTAATTGGTTAATATATATGTGTGTGTGTGTATATATATATATATATATATATATATAACGTTTGTTTATTTTATTTTTATTATTATTTCATTTATAATTACCATTTTATATATTAAACAACTTAATTTATTTTTATATCATAACTTTTAATATATAAAGTTTGTTATATCAAAATATATCGTTTACACCGTTTAAGTTTTATCAACCTTTATATATAACTTTGTATTGGAATCGAACATAAACAAACGACATATTCAACAATTTTTTTGTCTTAGAATCTCATTTTTTTTACTTCATCATAAAGTAATTTTTTGGCATATATTCTCGTTAAAATATACAAAATTTATGATCTTCACTATAATATGTGTGCCATCATTTTTTACGATCATATACATTACACAAAATATTGTATCTTTAAAAATTAATTAAACTATTGTTTACTCAGTTTCGTTGATAAAGACGTGTTTATAAAAACCTCTGATAACAATATGTAAAATGACATAAAAACATAGGAAAATCATAAATTTTAACATATTTTAACCTATAAAATAACTTTCGTTGTGTTTTTGTTTTTGTTGTTCGAGTATTTGCACAATATAGTAACGCGGTGGAATGAGTTATAAGTAGGCATTTTTGCAAGTCCATTTTTTGTTCCTTAATCTACTATGTTACCACATGTAACGATTTCATATGGACGAAGAACCGATTGTTTTGGTAGACGCTTTACCACTAGGCTATCCATTTCTTTGTACATTATAGGGATATTGACTTGAAAGGGTAATGAACTTTCGATTTTGTTCACATTTAGTCACTAAACTTTTTTTCATTATCTATTTGCCACTAAACTATTAAAACTGTTCACATTTTACCCTTATGACCGATAACAACCGGTCATAAGCGTAAAATGTGAACAGTTTCAATAGTTCAGTGACAAATAGATAATGAAAAAAAGTTTAGTGACTAAATGTGAACAAAGTTGAAAGTTCGTTTCCCTCTCAAATTATTCTAATAGTATACCCTGAAAAAGGTATAAAAAACCGAATTATTTCATCACGCTCCTTAAGTTGTTCCTAACTATTTATAGTTATTAAGGGCTACCCAAAAAGTATTTTGTTTTTAGTTCATAAAGTTGTATCAATTTAGTTTTGACCTTAGACACCTAATCTAACATTATTGGCTACCAATAGGGTGTTTTGATTCTATCTGAATATCGATGCTCAACTTCATGTTTCAGCTGATGCAAGTTAGCTTGAAATCTTTATGAAGACGACATCATTAATGTAAATCCAATAGTTATTGATAATAGATTTAAAATTGATGTTGTTGCTTAGTTTCATTAAAAAATCAACTTCTTTTCCTCTCTCAGATGTTGGTTAGTTCGTTGGGCAGTTTCAGTTTATATTTGACTTTGTGTGTTTCCTGTACAAAATTGGTCAAGAAAAGCTATTTTATATATGTTTAAAGTAAAAATATCATATTGTTCTTTATCGTTTTTTCTTCTTTAATGAAAATAAGATGCTTTAAACTCACAGACAAATTAATACTATACCATTTTATTATTACAATACAATCGTTAAAAATGAAAGAAAAAAAATTCTAACTAACGAGGGAGAATTCTTATAATAACTTTTTACATAAAGGGCTACTTTTGAAACTGTAATGTAATATGGACCATTTATGTATCTATATATTTGACTGTATGTATGTTTTCAACTATATGTATGTATTTGTTAACACAAGTTACATAAGAAAAATTAAAAAGAATAATAATATTAAAAATACTTCTAAATGTATGTTGTGTCTAATATGAAAATTTTGATATCCTTTTTAATAGTAAATATACTAATATGATGTATGTCAATACATGGAGTATAACAACATATATAATGTATCAATGTATGTATGTATTCTTTTATAAACAACGTATATGGTTTAATTGGTTTAATGTATGTCAATTTATATGTTGCATAATTTTATAACACAAAATTCATACATATAATATTAGGATAATTTTTATAGATATAATATTGCATAGTTTTATAACATAAAACTTATACATATAATATTGGTTTCGTTTTTTTTATACCTTTGTCGGAGTATAATATTAGGATAATTTGAGAGGGAAACGAACTTTCAAC